CTCTCTCTCTCTCTCTCTCTCTCTCTCTCTCACACACATGTGCCAGGTACTAACCTGTGAAGATGGCGCTGTGCTGCAGGTACCTCAACGACGAGCTGGAGCTATGGCGCTGCAGGTAAGTCTCCCTGGCCTCTGCCCAATCTCTATCTCTCTCCAGTGCTACTCTAGCTCCTAGCGCTGAAGACTACTGCTAACACTACTACTACCACAGCAGTGCTCCTCCAGAGTGCTGCTGCCGAATCCTGAAGACAACCTCCTGCCTCCTGAACTGCACGTGAAGTGCCTGGGAAGTCCCTATGAACTACCTGCAGCCCGCAGGGCGGGCCAGTCTGATATAATGCTGGCCCACTGTTACATGCCCAGTTGGGCAATGTATGTATAACCAAGGATCCGCTTTGTGGTGAAAAGGACTGAATGGACAATGCAATGTTAGTGGAATCTCAACAAGCAGTGTACATCCTGATACATACAAAATGGCACTTTGTAGCGCAGTGGAAGACTTAGATATAAGCCCTGACCTGACTGGGAATGACCTCTCTCGCGTAGTACAAGACAGCGCAGCGGATTGCTAGTATACCAATGACTAGCCAAATCAATGTCGCAATACAGACTAAACATACATCATCCTCATCACAAGGTGTGAAGGGGCCTGGCGCTACACACAGGAAGAATGCGCCAGGTCCAGACCATACACAGACGAAGTGGAGGGGATCAGACGAAGAAGAGGGGGGAGATGGGAATGTTGTCAACACCAAGTCTTCGGTACAAGTCCCAGATAATCCCAAGAGGAGGGGATCAGACGAAGAAGAGGAGGGATATGGGAATGTCGTCAACACCAAGTCTTCGTTACAAGTCCCAGATAATCCCTCGTCAGATGTCTGAAGCCCAATGTCGAGTCTGGACCAAATGTCACCAATCTCGCTGCTGATGCAGTGAAGCCAGGTAGTGAGAGGGTGAGAGGGAGATGGTGGACTGAGAAGAGGAAGAAGAAGAACTCTCTCTCTCTCTCTTATGTGCCAGGTGCTCACCTGTGAAGATGGCGCTGTGCTGCAGGTATCTCGAAGACGAAGCTGGAGCTACGGCGCTGCAGGTAAGTCTCCTTGGCCTCCGCCCAATCTCTCTCTCTCTCTCTCTCTCTCTCTCTCTCTCTCTCTCTCTCTCTCTCTCTCTCTCTCTCTCTCTCTCTCTCTCTCTTCAGTACTACTCTAGCTCCTACTAGCGCCCAGCACTGAAGACCACTGCTAATGCTACTACTACTACTGCAGCGCTCCTCCAGAGTGTTGCTGCCGAATCCTGAATACTTACCTCCTGCCTCCTGAACTGCATGTGAAGTGCCTGGGAAGCCCCTATGAACTACCTGCAGTCTGCAGGGCGGGCCAGTCCTATATAGTGCTGGCCCGTCCAGGAGGCTGCTCTTGCCAATGCCAAACGTGCCAGACCCTGGCATTGAAGCTCAAACAAAGGTTGTCTTGAAAACAGGCCCAAAATGGCCTGTGCCAATACCCTGGTCTGGTGCGTAAGTTTCAGGGCAGGTCGATCTTATGAGGGCCTGAAAACGGCCCTTCGTTTCAGGCTGAAAAGACTCAAAGCCTGGAGGGCCCTGTTTTAGGCTGAAACGACACAGGGCCTGTAGGCGCTTGTTTTCAGGCTTTCAAGCTGAAAACGACATGGCCTGAAAATGGCTTTGTACTTGGCGCGGCAGAGCGTTTCCAACACTCGTCGAAGGTGCTCAAGAATGTCCGGCTATAGACGAGAATGTCGTCTAAGTAGACCAGCACGAACTGGTCCAACATCGCACGGAACTCGTTGGTCATTGCCGCTTGAAAGGTCGTCGGGGTATTGGTGAGGCCAAAAAGCATGGCCACCCACTCAAAATGCCCATACCGCGTCTTGAACGCGGAGTTATAGCGATCGTGCGGCCGGATGGAAATCTGATGGTATCCTGATTTCAGATCCAACTTAGAAAAGTACTTTGCGCCACCCAATCGCTCCAGGAGATCGTCAATATGATGAAGAGGCCCCGCATTCTTGACGGTTTGCACGTTGAGCTTGTGGTAGTCGATGCACAATCGTAGATCCTTGTTCTTCTTCCATACGAATAGAACTGGTGCTCCATATGGGGAGCTGCTAAAGCGGATCCAACCCTTGTCCAACAAGTTATCGAGTTGCGCGTGGACCGTAAGCTCCTCCTCGCTCATGAGGTAAATGCAACCTTTCGGCGGCACGGCACCGTCCTCAAGAATGATCTCGTGAGAGGTCGGCCGATCCGGCACCACACCGGTAGGTGACTCGAAGATGTCGATGAACTCGTCAAGCAACCGCACCACACGGGGTTCCGAAGACAAGTCTGTGGGTGAAGAGTCGGCTACCGCGACGGTCCGTAGAAAACATAGGCCTATCTCGTCGGGCTGCTCGTAAGCGCAAGTAGCCCAGAATGGCTTGGCCGTCACCACTTGGCACCGAATCGAAGGGTACAGAAGAGAAATAGTACACGACACTTCGGCTCCGAAGGCGTCCCGAACGGTAAGAGTCCGCCGGTGGAAGTTGACCGTGTGATCTGCACTTGCAAGCCAAGGCAGTCCCAAAATAATGTCGAAGTCCGTGTCCAAAATGTCGAACGTCACCGGTTCGCATGCATGAGGTGCGAAATACACCGGTACGGCCTCGATGTAGCAGTCGATGAGTTGTTGCATCCTTTCGTTCGCCAACTTGATGGCCGTCGGGTTTGCCTTCCTCCGAACTAGTGCGCCAAGGCCAGCCCTTTGCATAAAGGCTTGGCTCATGAAATTGCAAGACGCGCTGCTATCCAGCAAAGCGTTGCAGGACGCTTGCCCAACTTGGATGCGGACATAGAGGAGCGGTGCGTTGTTGTCATCGTACCGCTGCTTGCGAAACTCGCGGGCCACCTTGGTAACATACACAAGTATGTCCCCCACCGCAACTTTGTCCTCTGTCGGCGAAGTATAGTGTTATGCATTGCGGTCCCAGCAAACGGCTCATGGTCGGGAGAGGAAGCCATGTGAAATCCTCGGACGTGAGCGGGTCCAATACCTCTATGTTGAACTCACGCGCCGCATCCCGTGAAGAACCACACGATAAGTTGTCGCTGTCGGACAGGGAAGATGCCGCACACACATCTTGTCCTTGAGCATGAGTAATCAGCGTAGGAACGAGGTGGGCAGCATAGTCCTCATAAGAATATAGAAGAGGAGGACTATCGACTTCTGCATGTGCCCCGGAACAAAGGGCGGTCACCCGCGAAGCGACCGGTTCCGAAGGTGTCGAGAGTGTCGTCACTCCCGACGGTGCTCAGGTTCCCGATTTGCTTTCGCCTTTCGACGGGCAACCCACTGTGTCGTGGAGATTGTTGTTACACCACAGACAATAGCGGAATCTCGTGTGTGGCTTGTATGCTTGCTCCGAGAGGCCGTAGTGGGTCCATGGGGTTGGAGCTGCTGCGCCGGGCCCGGGGATAGATGCGGTGTTTGTCTTCGGATTGCCGCGTCCTCGGCCTCTGCCAGGGCGGCCACCATCCTGGGCGGCTGCGAGTCTGTCCCCTTCATTGGCAGACACGACCTCGGTAGATTGGTTGATTGGCGTTGCAGTCGCGACCACGGCCACTTTCGGCCAATGCTGATCTCTGCTCAGGCCTGTCGCAGACGAACGGTTGAGGTTCTTGGCCTCCTTGTTCGTGACAATGATCTGCGCGGCCTTGTCGAAGAGCTCCACCGTTGTCGTTAGGGTGTCCTCAGCGTGAGTCAAGGCGTTGCCCAACGCCGGACACGACCTCGAGATGAAGTAGTGTTTGACAGCCTTGAAGCCCATCTGAATGTCTGGGACGGATGTCAAGTGTTGATACTCATCAATTCAGTCAACACTCGACAGCGTGCCTTGTTCGAAGGTCGTCAATCTGTCCATTGCCTTGATCTCTGGTGGCTGTACTCGGAACCGCTTATGCCACGCCGCCTTTAGATCATCCCAGGCTTCCCAGTTGATCTTGGTGTACAAGTCAGCAGCTACCACCCCGTACTTGGACAAGGGATTGTCCAACCATGCTTGGCACGCGCCCCCCGACCGGGAGTAAAAGTACGCGTGATGCTTGTCCTCGCTGACGTGGTGTAGTTGCAACTTGAGCTCGAACTTGCGGAACCACGGAATCGGGTCCGTCTTCGTCGAATCGCAGAAGATCTCCTGACCATCGAACTTCGGAGTTGTCTCACGCTGTGCCGAGCTCGGGTTGGCGGCAGCAGCACAAAACCGCTGCTCCAGTTGTTGCGTGGCGGTTTGCTGTAGTTGCGCGTCGTCCTTGAGGGTTCCGACATCGATCTCCAATGAATTGAGGCGATCGGAGTTGTTGGAGGAGCTGGCATCGGGGGCGGTGACGGGTCGTTGCTCCAGCTGTTGGAGGCGGCTGTTGACCTGATCAAACGCCTTGTTGTGCATCTGAACCGCGTCGTTGAGGCTGTGGATGTCCTCCTGCTGTGCAATGCACGTTGCCAGGAGATCCGTGAAATGGCAGAGGAGTAGAGCGATCTTGCTTTCACTCTCTTCCATCTTACCATTCTCGGCCTCGGCCCGCCAGTCCGCTGCCATTGTGAGCAAGGCTCGCTCTCCGTTGAATATCTTCTCGCGTCGTTGACTTCGTTCTTCATCGGCAGCCTTTGCTGCTGCCTCGTCTTGCTGGCGCTGCTGGTCGATTGCCAACAGACGTGCCTTCTCGGCGTTCTCTGCCTTCTTTTTCTCTGCGGTTGCTACCTCATCTGCCTGTTTCTTGGCTTTGGTAAACAAAGCCAGCATCCGGGCCTGATAGGCCTCGGCCGTTTCCCCGGACTTCTGATCCATGCCGGCTGTTTGTAAGCGCGTGAGCATCGACCAGGCCGGAGGACTGCTGATGTGGCACTCCCTTCTGCTGCCGGCGGACCGGGCCAGACGAACGGGGGGGGGTCCGTCCGGCAAAACCAGACGAGCCAAAAAACATCCCAGGAATTTTTTTATTTTTATTTTTGAAGATGGGGTTGGAGTGCGCTCGCTGAGAGGAGCCCAAATCCGCAGAGAAACTTGTGAAAG